TGTGCTTAGCAACATTTACTATATGCTATATACTGTATTTGTCTGTGGTTGCCAGCTTCATGCTAACATATGCGTGTTAAAAGTGGTCAAATGTACCACTTAAGTGTAAAACTGAAAACTCTCGCCTGATATATCTATCACAATCTCAGAAACGATGAGTGTTTAAAAAAAAGCATGAAGGTTTTTGCGAATTTGTTAGAGCTTAATCAGATAAAGTGCAGTTGATGAGAAATTTCTGTTGCTTTGAGTCAAGTAATCTAACTTGTTTTACCATAAAGGTTAGATGATTATCCTAAATGTTTAGTTCTTCTTTATCAGACTAAAAACTGTTGTTTATTTTGAGTAAGCTAGATGATATCAGTTCAGTATCTGATCAAATTTGTGTTAAAAAGAAATGATTGTCAGTGTACTGTAAGAAAAGTGACATGTTTGTGAGATACAGCTGGCTGGTCATTACCACAGAAACAACCAATCTAGGGTGTATTGACCAAACAACAACATAACTCATTGCTGAACTATCATAGTACGATGCATAATTTGCGAAAAGAGCGAGTGACGAGTATTTCCCAAAACCGTAGTTTCTCTGATGCAGACCTATCGTTTGAACCACGTTAGTTATAACATAAAATGACACTCTAAACAGGGCGGAGAAAGAACTTTCAGAATTCACTGATCACTGCAGAATTGTTTTAGCATATTTGCCCAATACAGTACATTTCTTAATAAATAGCCTAGGCTACTATAAATTGAAACCATTAATGTAACCTATATAAAGTGCTCAGCATAACTGAGTACACCCCATTTTGAAAATTAATATTTTTACCCATTTCTCAGTGAATATAGGCAATGTATTTGGGTGTGTTTAAACAACAGATTTATTAAACATATTTTTATTTAAATAATATTTTAGTCACCAAACATTTTTAAAAATTGAAAGAAAACAATTAAATTAAAGCTAAATATTGCAAAAAAAATAAATAAATAAATACAATCTACAAAATTTCAGCTACAATTTTCAATTTTTTTGCTTCACTAGTTTTTTCTCTCTTCTTAAATTTGTATTTAATATTTTTCTATAACAAATAAATTTGGCTGTACTAGATTTTAGACCTTTAATGCAAGTTATTTTGTTAAATAAGCTCCACATTTAACTTCAGTACTGACTGATCTAATGTATGTGAACAAATATAATATTGTATAGCTTCCTATTCAAAAAAATTAATTTAAAAGATTTGTGAGGGGTGTACTAGCTGAGCACTGTATTTTCGTTTTCATGAGCTTTGGTAATGTAACATAGATTGCACTTTCCATAATTCAACTATAGCTTTGGTCATGAGCCATGGCTGTGTGCAAAATGGCAAATGATTTCAAAATGTTCTATGATGGGAGCGCAATTGTCAGAAGAACGCTCAAACTGAACTGTAAAAAATACTTTGAAAGCAAACTATATGTAAGAGAAATAGCTTTATTGTTTTTTTTTATTATTTTTTAAATCATTCTGAGTTTAAAAGTTGGAATGTTCTAAATGATAGGGCTTAGGGGGATAACTGGGAACAGAACACAGCCAAGAACTATTATTACAGCTCTAGAGGTAGTTGCAAGCATACCCAAAAGCGATGCAGTTTGCGAATGTTTGTTGGAACAAAGGATTATTGAAACATCAAATCAACAAACTGTTTGTAAAAGGCATAGATAGGCCAGTATAAGATTCTGATGGTATGATAACCTTGAAAAGAAATATCACAGTTTCACTGTATTGTGATTACTGCTAGAAAATATGTTCTTTTTAAATGTCTGGGTAAAAAAACTAACTGTTTTCTCTTTGAACGCAATACATTTTATTTTGGGAAACTTTTAAAACATTTAAACAGTAAACATGTTAGGCTAAAACATTAAAATGAATCATTAACTTCTGCTGTCTTTATTAGTTTGAAAAACACAGATTTCAATTTAAAAAGGCATCTTTAGATATCCATTTGCTGGAGATATCCATTTGCTGAAAAAACTTTCATATACTGTAGGAATGGTATAGCTGAAATAAAAATAAAAAATTTACTTTCCCAAACTGCGGTACACCTTGAAAACGGTTATCGCTCCATGCCTAGTTTGTAACGACGGAACTTGCAACCTTGGTTGATCCTTATAGTCACTATAGTTTAGATAGTTAATAAAACGATAGTTTTCAAAAAACGCACCTGTGGTTTATTATTAATAATGACAGACTGGTTTCTTAATTTCCTGGCCAAATTTGCCCACTGGCCTCCATCCATCATGGCCTCTTAACCCTCCCTATTTAATAATTGGCTTCATCACTCAGTCTCCTCTCCACCAATCAGCTGGTGTGTGGTTTGCGGTCTGGCGCAAAATGGCTGCCATCGCGTCATCCAGGTGGATGCTGCACACTGGTGGGTGATGAGGAGATTCCCCACTATGTGTAAAGCACTTTGAGTGCCCAGAAAATCGCTATATAAATGTAAGGAATTAAATATGTGACTTCTTGCAGTACAGTACCATATGCAGTTGAAAACAAAATTATATTTAATTTAATTTTAATTATTTTTCACATTATATTTTCTTGTTACTTTAATCCGACAGAAATAAAATAAAGGTATGCATCTAAAAATGTTTGAAATAATGCTAACATCTATATTATTATGCCCCTTAATATATTTTTTTCAGTTGGCTACAGAGCAAACACTGTTGTCCAATTAAACTATCTTACTTAGTTAACCTAATTTACCTAGTTACGCATTTACATTCCACTTTAAGTTAAATACTATTATCTTGCACAAAAACGTAAAAAATAAATAAATAAATATATAAATGAATAAATATAACTGTGACACAAAAATTTAGTTAATTAAGAAAAAGAAATTAGGTATTAAAATTTTTATATTTTACAATGTAAAACCAAATAGTAACCATGCTTGGAGATATTTGAACAAGAATTCAAATTTCTCAGGAGTGCTAATTATTTTGCCTTCAACTTTGAATGAATTATTGATTCATTGTAATGAAGAGTTGGAGTTCTTTTCTGTGTCAAGTATGAGACAGCAAAGCAATATGAGAGACTAACACAGCTCTGTAAGGAAACAGTTGCCAGTTTTTGTGATGAGCGAGGCTTTTTACAAATGTGGTTGCCATGGATAGTGACTGCAGAGTCAGATGATTTGAAACTACAGTTTTCTTCTCTGTGCCAGTCATGCTTTATGTCCTCACTGGTTGAGTTGAACATCATTACCAATTGGTATGAACAACTGTCAACCACTTTTTCTGTGCTGAGACTATCGCCTTATTATTGATTTTATATCACACAGCTAAATGCTAAAGAAAAAGTGCAGATATTTTTATTGTTTTAATGTCACACTTTCAATGTGTTAACACTCTCAATGTTACAGTTGCAAATCTATCTTCACATGTCTGTAAGTGGTAATAGCATGATGTTAATTGCACCTGGCAATAAGTGCTTAGTTTTGTGATTAAATATACTATTTCAATGCATTTAGCACCTGATTACTTAATTACAGGTAGTTGGAAGAGTATAATAGTTTAAATGGATTATGAACTTATAATGTTCTCAAGATTTTTACACTAAGAGAATGATTTTTTAAAAGTAGCTTGTTTTCGGTCCTAATTTGCTTGCCTTCATCAGAATACATCATTTGAATAGGTGTGGCAGATTGTAGATTCAAAAGTGAATGCCCACTGGTATGATTGGCTAACAGTGTTCATTTTTAAAAATTAAAAAAGTAGTGGGACCACCTTTGCAATCTTCTGAATGTATGTTTGACAGCCTACAGTACATCATTCACTTGCTGCTGCTGCTATTTAGGTTATAAACAGATATACAGTAGGTATGACAAATGATCTGTAATAACAAAGCAATAGTACCAACATGCTGTAATAAAAACAGTTAAAGGGATAGTTCACCCAAAAATAAAAAATTCTGTCATAGTTTGTTCACCCTTTCTTGTTGCAAACCGGTTTCAATTCTTCATCATTTGTTTTTTCCTATATGGAAGTCAACGGTTACAGGTTTTTATTTTTCTTCAAAATATCTTCTCTTGCATTCAACTGAATAAAGAAACAAATAAAGGATTGAATTAAAGTAAATAGTGAGTGCATTAGATTGGGGAAAACTATCCCTTTCACCTTGTGTGGTTTGGTATTACTGTCAGATCTAATAAAGCTGGCATACTTTCAATCTTTCAGAAAATCCAATCTGTACATTTCACAAATCTGTGATGAAAAATTAAATAAGCAAAAGACTGAATTCTTACTGACATGGTCTATATAGCCTAAATTATATAGACTAAATGCCTAGTTTAAATATAAATTAAATATACTCCACCACAGTCCAAAGACATGCAGTACAGGTGAGCAGAATAAACTAAATTTGGCGTAGTGTATGTGTGTGAATGAGTGTGTATGTGTGTTTCCCAGTACTGCGTTGGGGCTGGAAGGGCATCCGCTGTTTAAAACATGCTAGAATAGTTGGTGGTTCGGTCCACTACCGCGATCTCCGAAACAGAGACTAAGCTGAAGGAAAATTAATGACATTCTTTCCCGATGTCATAGGATCAGAATGAAGGCAGTGCAAAAAGTAGGTTTTACCTAATACCTATCTTGGCTTATCTTTACAACTTGGTTTCTATATAGACTTGTGTTTGCATCTCTCATTATTTATTATATTTTCGAACCAGCAGGCAGAGCTAAACAGACTAATGTAGAAGCAGACATTAATCTTCGGTGAAGGCGGAGCTTAGCAACCGTATTATACAGTGGGACATTCTACATGTCATTTTGGCAGATTAACATTAAAATAAGATTTGAATGGTTTTAGACTAACATGATAATTGCATGGTGTTTTTATATATCAAAATGACATTTTAATATGTCAAAAGATCACCAGAATTTTAATTTCTCAGATGCCTTTAACAAATTACATTTTACTCTCTCTGCCTTTCTCAGTCTGTCTCTTTCTCCTGCTCTTTCTACAGAGTAAATCTTGCTTTGGCTTATACTGAACTAACAGAGGAGTTGGGCAAGTTGCAGGCTCTGACCTCAAAACAGACTGAGATACTGCGGAAAGCCTCACAGGAGCCGGCAAGCCCAGGTATGATATGACCATCTCTCATGTATTTCTGGCATACACTTACAAGAGTGGCCAATAGTCTCCAGAAGAAAAAAATTGTAAAATGTTTTTAATAAATGATCTTTTACTTAATCCATCCAAATATTTGGAAGCTGGGAAAAGAAAAACCCTAAAATTAGTTAAGTGTCTAGTACAGAACAATATAAACAATTATTAATATTTCATTGGGTCTCCCTAACAATTGTCCTCCACATTCCTCAGTAATCATGTTTACTTGTGGTATCATGAATAAAGGAGCAAATAAAAATTGCGGAGCACAATAAACAAAAACAAAAAAACTCTTCAAGAACTACTATATAGTACTGTATACTGTAAAAATTGACATCAACATGCAGTAAGATTGGTGATTAAATAAAGAGCAAAGAAATACATTTTCCAAAACCACAATCCCATCTCTGTGCAAAATTATTTTTATTATTGATAGGATGTTCATTTTTATTCATTCATATGAATTTGTGAGAAAAAAAAGGACTGCCCCTAAAAGTAACGTTTACTGCATTAAGTGAGCCAATCCTATCAAAAAACACTTGGTTTAAGTCTAACTTAACCAGTTAGAAGGCAAAGTTTTAAATTAATGAATTTCCCCTTTTATAAAACCACAGTAGCCTAAAAATCTGGAGAAATGAAATACTGGCGTTAGCTTTCATCAGGCAAAAACAAAGATTAAAACAAGACCAAATGGGAAATTAGAAGCGTGGTTTTTAAAGATGTTTTAGGCATTTCTGCTCAGCAAAAGTAAAACATTTTTAAGATAACCCTATTTAAAGTCTTTATTGAAAAGTACTCATTTAGGATGCAAATGTGTTTTTTTAGTGACTTTGCCAATGCCAGCCTGTATAAAATTTGGACTTTATGTTATGTGAATACTTTTCTAGACTTGTACGCCTACATTAGTCAAATAGAAAACATTTATATGAATCAAATATAAATCAAATAGTGGAAAATTAGATAATAATATTAATTAGCAAATGAATATTGATAATAATAATAAAACTTTTGAAAGATGATAAAATAAACGGGGCCCTTGAGTTTGCCTGGGGCCCAATATGTTCTTAAGCTGCCCCTGACTACTGTATAACATCATGAACAACTATAAACTCTCATAAAGCACCAGAAGGTGTATAATGTACATTTTAAAAGATTTCAAATAGTAAAAAAGCATACCAGTATATTGCAATATTGCTTAATTGGCCATAGTCGTGTGATCCTTAATGAAGACCTTTGGGATGGATTTGAACATCGACTGCCAATCAGGCCCAAATACACAGCATCAGCTCCTGACCTACAGATGCTAATACTGTATGCCTTGTACTGTAATGAGGACCTAATTAAAGTAATAATTAGATTTTCATACTATAATGAGCAGCTTTTGTAATAGAACCAATTTGTCAAACTCATCAACATTTAGCAGAGTTGTTTGTAAACGGGCCCTTTAGAAAGCACTGCATGCTTGTTTGCTGTCTTGTTAAATTCCATAAGGAATATTTTTGCTGACAAGTTCTGATCTTCTTTAAAGTTGAGCGCCTCTTCTTTACAGTTTGAGAACATAAACAACTCCCTCTTATCTTTTTAGCACCTCTACTAAACCACAGAACACATTTGAAGTTAAAACCAGACCAAAAAAGCAGAAGCGGAGATGGAGGGGGGGGGGGGGAGGGGGAAACCGTACTGATTCATAGATAAACTAATTTCTCTAAATAGCTGATTGCAATCTCATGATTGCAGGAAGCTCTGTGTGTGTGTACACACACACACACACATATATATATATATATATATATATATATATATATATATATATATATATATATATATAAACAAATATCTATATATGAACGCTAGACTTAGTAAGAGATCCATCTTCAGTACAGGATCTTGTGCCCGTTGCTAGTCAGAAAACTGCGTTAAAGTAGCCCAACACAGGTTCTCAGGGTGAATGCACAGAAAAACAAAATGAAAATAACTTAAGAGGAAATGTAAGGGGAAGAGGAAGTCATCACAGACATCTATCTGTCCATTAGGGACCGCTTTCTTTGCACAGCCTTTCAAGAAATACTTCCGGTAATAAAGGGAACCACCTTTCTTTTAAGAAATTCAAATTTTGGTTTAATTTATTTATTTTTATTTTTTTTTTGATGAATTTAAAAAAATATATATACAGTTGAAATCAGAGATATTAGCCCTCCTGAATTATTAGCCGCAGTTTATTTCTGTTTAACCGAGAGAAGATTTCCTCAACACGTTTATGAATATAATAGTTTTAATAACTCATTTATAATAACTGACATATTTTATCTTTGCAATGATGACAGAAAATAGTATTTTACTAGATATTTTTCAAGACACTTTTATACAGTTTAAAGTAGCATTTAAAGAGTTAACTAGGTTATTTAGGTTAACTAGGCAGGTTAGAGTAATTAGGCAAGTCATTGTATAATGATGGTTTGGTTTGTTCTGTAGACCAGTGGTTCTCAAAGTGGTGGTCGGGACCCCTCAGGGGTCGCTTGATTCAAAAATCAACATTTGTTCAACTGTAAGAATTACCATAATTTATCCATAACCGACTGGAGAACAAAATAGTAGTTAATAGTAACATTGTTAACATGTTAATAATAAACATTAAAAAGCCATCAGCCTTTCAAATGTTTTGTTTTTGCGACACCAGGGGTGATTATGTTATATTAAAGACACAGCAATAGTGTCAGACATTGGTTTTATGGCACCAGGTTAAACTTTCTGATACCTTTAAGGCAGCCACATACGTTAAAAATAAATATGACCACAAATTAACATGGTGGATGGTCCTTGAGTGGCGTTCCCCAAAAATAAACAATGAATAGACTTGGGCCTTTTAGCATGTGTGCACGGTTTATATATTCATTACTACCTGAGAGGATATTGGGGGTCGCGAGTCACTGGCATTATTATGTTGGGGATCACAGGCTTAAATGTTTGAGAACTCCTAGACCAGGGGTTTTCAAACTGGGGGCCGCTAGGGGCGGTGAGATTGGCGCTAGGGGGGCCGCAAAGAAATTTTAGATGAAGGGTAATCAATGGGCCCACATGGATGAATTTTGTGTCCCGCATCATTCTGAAAGTTAATATATTTTTTATTATAATTTGAGCTCAAAAGTACTGCAAAAATTAAGCTTTATGTCACTTTCGTAACAAAGAAAAAGAAGCGAAGCGGCCCGCCTCTGTGCACGGAGACTTTTATTGAATAAGTTATTCTGGCTAGGTGCTTCCATTGATTTTTGGCGCTTGTCTGCTGCACCAGACAGCGTTTACCTTTCACTTACGCTTACCTATTTTACGCTAAACAACTAAATGAATGCTCTGGTCTATTTAACTGACTATATTTCAGTTAAAATACATGATCATTAAGAACATTATCGGTGGCTGAAAGCACTTCCCTGTTTATGGCTTGCGTTCCTAAGTAACCGAGCAGCTGGGTGCTGCGGAGTGCGCGCCTCTCTGCGCAGGCTTCACTCATAGGGAACAAAAAGCATTATAAAGACACGGCACAACATTGCACCTGTTCCTTAGTGCGACAGGATTTACACTTTGCATTGTACAGACGGTCCTCTTTGCAGCATGACAAACAAACATATTAAAATTGTAAAGCAAAAAGTGCTGCAATAACAATGAATGGAGCTGTCATCACATCAGCAAGTTCTCAGAGTTTCACTCCTGTTACACTAATGACAGCTGGATGAGCTCTGCAGTGGACCTCTTACTCACATTGGTTCATTTTTTTTCCCCCAATATGTTTATTGATTTTTTTCCTTTTCACCCCATCAACTAGGCATACAGACAACAATGCAGCCTACACAGCACATATCTACACCCTTCTTATATATATGTATATACACCCATACATACTAAAAAAAATAAATAATTTTTTTTTTTGGTTCAGTTATGAACCAACTCACATTGGTTCATAACTGGATGATTAAAAAAACTAAATTGTATACACCCTGAGTAAAACCACTATAGCCTATAAAATTATAATGTATCTGTTTGTGTTATGTCATAGGGCTAATTAATTATTAAATATTCAAATGTATTAGTGCTCTGTATTTAATGGAGCTCAACATATCTGATCAAATTTTAATACTCTCAATATAAATGCATTTTTTTCAAGATATTCCCCTTTTTTCCATATTTATTTGTGTAACTAATTTAAATGTAATGTTCAGTATTATTATTAACAGAACAAACTGGTATGAACATTTTAAAGTCAGCAAAGCTTCTAAAATTATGCAAAGTAAAACTTGTGGCTCTTTGAACTTGAATACCCAATTCTAGATTGCATTTAGGAAATTATTTTTTATCAGTGTATGTCAGGATTGTCGACCTAAGTAAAAATGATGTGCACAAAAAAAAAGGAATAAAAAAAAACAAAACACACTGAACCACTACAGCCTCCATTGTAGTATTGCTAGTTACAACAGTACAGTTAACTGTTAACAGGCTGATGAATGACAAAACTCTTTAAAACTTTAAAGCTTTAAATCTTTAGATACATTTAGACTCTCAGCTGTAAGGGTAAATACAGAAGAGTCTAGCTGTGCATAGGCAGGAAAAAAAAGCATAAAAACGGCATTAAAAACTGTGTAAAGTGACGATTTATACACAAAATATGTCTTGATGGAATTCAGTGAGAGCAGACCACAATGAACAATGCGCATGAAGATTTGATCTATAGATTGAAGCACTGAAACCATGTCAACTCAACTAACATCTTACAAAAATTAATCCAGATAATGAATAATATAAATTTATTGCATAATATATAATAATATAAATGTATTGAATTATACAATTTTAAAAAAATTAAGTACAGTTGTTAATTTGAGGGGAGTTTTTTTGGCGTCATTTTTATTTTTTTGGGGTCCCTAAAAGGATTCGCCCTACACAAAGGGGCCCTCAGCTGAAAAAGTTTGAAAACCCCTGTCCTAGACTATCAAAAATATGTATAGCTTAAATTAGCTAATAATTTTGACCTTAACATTTTTTTTAATATAAAAACTGCTTTTATTCTAGCCGTAATAAAACATATAAAACTTTCTCCAGAAGAAACAATATTATCAGACATACTGTAAAAAATGTAATTGCTCTGTTAAACATTGTTTGGGAAATATTTAAAAAAGAAAATAAAAATTGAAGGGGGCTAATAAATCTGACTTTAACTGTATGTTCATCACGAAATCTTGAAATGCAAGTAGTGATGGACATTCACCAACCATTTTATTAGCTACACTTGTTCAACATAGTTCAAGACAATATATTGTAGTTCAAACCGAGTTTTAATATGGGGATGGAAGGTTATTAGGTGACTGAACACAGCATGGTTATTGTGACCCCACACTCACACACACACAAACATCTTAGATTCAACAAGATTGGTAAAAAAAAATATATATACATTTTCCAGCAAACGTCAGTTCTTTGCATGACCTCCACAGTGACCAGATCTCAATCCAATTGATTCAGATTATAGATGTGCAACTGACAAAACTGAAGCAACTGCATGATGCTGTCATCACAACAATATACAGTATCTGAGGCCCCTTTCTGAATCTCACTCATTCATTAATTTTCTTGTCGGCTTAGTCCCTTTATTAATCCCAGGTCGCCACAGTGGAATGAACCGCCAACTCATCCAGCACATTTTTATGCAGCGGATGCCCTTCCAGCCGCAACCCATCACAGGGAAACTTCCACACCCACATTCACACACACACTCATACTCTACGGACAATTTAGCTTACCCAATTCACGTGTACCGAATGTCTTTGGACTTTGGGGAAACCGGAGCACCCGGAGGAAACCCACACGAACCCCTTGCTGAATCTATGTGAGAAAAAAAATAAGGCACTTCTAAGGATAAACCATTGCTGACAAGGTGGCTGAGAGGTTAGCACTGTCGCCTTACAGAAAGGTTGCTGGTTTGAGTGCCAGCTGGGTCAGTTGGCATTTCTTTGTGGAGTTAGCATGTTCTCCCTGTGTTTGCGTGGGTTTCCTACGGATGCTCCGGTTTCCCCAACAGTCCAAAGACATGCGGTACAGGTGAATTGAATAAACTAAATTGTCCATAGTGTATGTGTGTGAATGAGTGTGTATGTGTGTTTTCCAGTACTGGGTTGCAGCTGGAAAGGCATCCGCTGTGTAAAACAATAAGTTAGCGGTTCATTCCATTGTGGCGACCCCTGATGAATAAAGGGACAAAGTCAAAAGAGAATGAATGATTGAATGAAGGAAGATAAACCAATACTGGCAAGGTAAACCAACTAGTTGCCGGTGAGTGTGTATTGATTGTATAATTTGTGAGAAAAGGTTTAGGACAAGGTTCTAGTTGTATTCGTTCGATTATTATTTATGCTTTTTTTCCACTTTTTTCCATGTCATGTTTTTCTCTTGATTTGCTGTTGTAGTTCAGCGCCACTCTCCTGTCCCTCACCAGAGGCATTCGCCCGTTCCACAGCGCCATTCTCCAATCCAACAGCGCCATTCCCCCATCCAGCAGCGTCACTCCCCTGTGCCCCAGCGGCGCTCCCCTGTGCTGCAGCGTCTCTCTCCGGACATGCACCGTCGCTCGCCCCTACCTGAACTCAGTGACGGCCCTGCATCCTATTCCTGCAGGCCTACTTCCCATCACCTGAGGGCCAGTTTCCAGGGAAGACGCAGTTACTCTGAAGTAGCTGATCCATCAGCTTATCAACGTCCTCCACGGTTCACTCTGGACCCGGTGTCCACCCTGCCGAAACCTCGACCATACGTTGACAGCTACCACAAGCAGCAGCAGCAACAGCAGCAGCAACAACAACAGCAACACGGAGGAAGCCAGCACATGTTAGTTCAGAGACAGAGCTCTCAGTCTGGGGTTGGAGGCGATGGGGGATTGGTTGAAACTCCACGGCTGTCCAGGGAGTTATCTTTCCACCACTCAGAGGTGTCCCACTTGCATTTCGATCCTCAACCCAGTCCAGCGCCTCTGCATTCATCCCCACAGCCTCCGCAGTCTTCAGAGGATGAGGAGGAGTGGTCCTGCCCTCATCCAATCAGTCCTCCGCGAACACTAGGGGTGTCGAGTCCCTCATCGAGCTCCAGAGGTCCAGCCTCTTGTTCAGCATTCCCTATTCCTTCCCGTCCCAACACCCTAAGCTGCCACCCACCTGGATACCTGCATGCAGAGCACGCCCAGTCTTGGCCATCTATCAATGTGAGTATCCAGTATCCACAGTAATGCCTGTGTGAACTATGTGCATGGATTAGCATAGGTGCAAGGTGAATGATAAAGTAAAATAAGTCGTCTAATTTGTCTATCTAAGCAAGATGGAGCACTACCGACAAGCAGTACCAACTAGTGCACTTATTCTGCCTGATTCGTCCATCTGAACAGATGAAGCAAATCGTAAAACAAGTGGCAGACCCAGGCTTTTAGACTGCATCTGAAATCACATGGTCTAAATTAGTACTTATTTTCCTTAAGTAATTACTTCATGTCGTTCTATACCAGGGGTCACCAACCTTTTTGAAACTGAAACTACTTCTTGGGTACCAATTATTGTGAAGGGCTACCAGTTTGATACACACTTCTTAAATAACAATGTTTTCTCAATTTACTTTTAATTATATGTTGTTATTATTAATGATTAATGATATTCATCTATGTGAAGAGACACTGATCATGTTAATGATTTCTCACAATAGTTCTCAACAATGATTTAACAAGGTAAGAAACAGAAATATCAATATGCAGCACTTTATTCGTCTGAAATAGTTTTACTTTTTTATATATACACCTTAATGTCATTAACAAATTTTACACCAATGCAGGTGTGATTTAAAAAGAATAGCTTCAAAAAATACTAGATTCAGCTTACTGGTATGTGGTGCAATGGTGAGCTATTTTTAGAACAGGCCTGTGGGCAACTCATGTAATCCTTGTTTGCTACCTGGTGCCCGTGGGCACCATGTTGGTGACCCCTGTTCTATACAATTCAGTTCAATTAATCTTTGTCTATAGCGCTTTAACATGTAGATTGTGTCAAAGCAGCTTAACATATAAGTTATAGTAAATTGAAACTCTGTCAGTTCAGTTTTCAGAGTTGACGTCCCACCCCATACAACACACACACACACACACACACACGCGCACACACACACACACACACACACACACACACACACACACACACACACACACACACACACACACACACACACACACACACACACACAGACACACACACACACACACACACACAGACACACAATCCCTGCTCTTCACTTTCATCCACTTTAATCACAACCCCCCACACTCGGTTTTTACTTACACCTGCAACTCCCACACCCCCACCACCCCTGCTCTTCTCTTTCGTCTAAGACACCTTTAAAATAATTTCTTAGAGGCCAGTAATTAATATTACATTTATTATGAATTTTTATGTGAATGATTGTTATGTGAACTACTGCTGCATCATCAGTCACTTCACAAACACTCTCTTGTGGCCTCATGGAACAGCATCCCAGTATGGGACAGGTCATCTGGGTACTTTTTTCTGACATTGTGAATTTAGACATGGGCCCAATCCCAATTCTACCCCTTAGTCCTTCACATGAAGGGGTTGGGGTAAGGGGAAGGGATAGCTCTTGAAACTAAGAGTTTTTTTTTCAGGTTCACACTCAAAACCAAGTGGTAAGAAAAATTCCTAGAATACACCATCTACAACAGCAGCAAGGCTGCACACAGCAGTAAAGAAATGCACAAATTAGTTTTTTTGTCATTATTACAAGTTTTTACAACAAACAAGCATGTTTTAATACATTCATAACCGCGTTCATGTTTTACTGTCATACTTAAAAAAATAATTTAAAAAAAGCTAAAATAAAAACTGCTAAATTTCGCGATCTATAATACCTAATAATAACTCCTGTATAGTAGTGCCACAAGATACCTTTCCATCTGACACTCAAATTCCCTGTCAGAAAAGTCTAGTGGTTGTGAATGTACTTATCACGGTATCTGCTATATTGTTAATATTGTTTTCGTGTGTTTACATAGATGAATATGGCCACGGCTTATTGCAAACTTATTGCCACATTATAATAACATGATATATGCCTTCAGTGATTTCCTTAAGATAAATACTAAAATAATAATGCAACTGGAAGAACTACAGCAGTCATGATCATCGATCTCATAAAAAGCAAGAGATCTCGAGATATGATGATGTGTGCAGGTGTTGTAGTGCTGTCTCATTTCTTAGGGGTAAGATTTGTAGCCCTAGGAGTACAAAAACAGAATTGGGATTGAGCCATAGTTTGTCACAAACTGTTTTTTACTTAATTTATCTTATGAATGCAAGTTATTTTGGATGCAGCCTTACATTCCTACAGCTCAATCCTAGTTTGCTATTGGCAAATAGATAACACGAATAGAAAACCCCATCCCAAAGCACACATGATTGGTTGAGCCACCGTTGCCAGGCTGCAGAGATATTTTGAAAGTGCTACAGGGACACAGATTGCACCCGAAATGGCATCATTTTAGGAGTAGGTACATATTCTGAAAAAGTCATTTACTTTCTAACTATTTTAAAAAGTAGCAGGAAGTAGCAGGGACTTTTTGACTGCACTTGTTACTAATATATAGTATGAAAGTATGTGATTTCAGATAAAGGCTACATCCCTTCTAATGGACAATTCCGGTCAGCTATTGGCCATATTGGCTTTCCACCAACCTTAAATCATTTTATGAGCTGCTGTTGCTGTGTCTGGCTGCCATAACAAACTGAGATATATTTGCTACAGTTACGATGTTTACAGATATCAGAGATATTTCAGACCACCGCAACCCTAATTTTCACGTTTTGCACCACATTGTTTAAATAGCAAATCCATTTGTGCCACTTTGTGGACTCATGGGCTTGCTGGTCTAAAATAGAGGTATGTTAAGGCGCTTTATTGACACGTTATTATTTTGAAAAACTGAAATAGACTGCCAATTAAAAAACAAGTCTAAATTTCAGCGCTGAGCATATTAGTTATGTGCCTATGTGGGTTCAGATGCTTACACTGCTTAATACACACAGTATGTACAGCAATACACAAATATCTTTACATATGAAAAAAATTAAAGAATTAAAATGTTATAAAATTATTTTCTACATAAATATAAAAACAACTGCCTCCATGCCTTCTTCATGCCTCCATGCCTTTTTCAGTTTATTAATGACAATTTGCATTCGTATAATGTTGTTGTTATTATTATTATTATTATTTTTATTAGCAGTATTATTTATTATATACATATTTATATTTGTTTTAATAAAAATAAGTTTAGATTTGTCCACCTGTCGGTTTTGAAGATGTATGCATCACTATATGAGACATAGGAACAGGATGTGTGTTTGGATATAACCACATATATTTTTTTAACCACACTTCATTATTATTGTTAATTTATTTGTTTGCTAGAAATTAGAAGTGAATTTAGAAATCGTTTTGAAACAAATCTTTGCACAAACTAAATTAAATATGTGGGCTAATGGATGTCTTCAGTGGAGTGAGTTAAACACCATTTCCTTATCCACAAAAGTAAAGGAGTAAAAAGTAAAAGTAAAATAGAGAAAGTAAAGAGGCTGAATGGAGGAGGCTCATTCTTTATCCTCGCGCTGCAGATCTGTTTAAATGTTTTCTTGCAAGTAAAGCGTTCAGTTTTTCTACTTACGAAGTCCACCGTTTAAATAGCAAATGTGCAATGGTGTGACGCTTCTGACTCTTAAATGGAATTGGAGATGAGACTCTGATTGGTTTAATGCAGGTTATGTTCAAAACACACCCATAACTTATTAAGAGAATAAACACAACCCTGTTAGACCATGTGCCAGGGCGCAGAGTGTATTTTTTCCATCCTTAAAATAGCAAAGTGGATTTGGACACACCTCTAATGCTTTTGCCTCATGCGCTTTAGACTTTACTAATTGAACTATACATTTCTATACAGTACATATAACTGTTTTATTAGTGAATTTTAAGCATTACATCTGTCAAACTTGTCGCTGTGTCCTTTGCAGCTGTGGATGGAGACGGAGGAGGAGGGTGATGTCAGGAGCTGCCCATTGTGCCAGCTAATCTTTCCTGTTGGTTACCCTGATGATGCCTTGATCAAGCACATTGACTCGCACCTGGAGAACAGCAAGATCTGACACCCACAGCCATGTTATGACCTTCTGTTGTTCCACAGTTACATTCATTCGCCGCTCCTGGTATTTTTAGCTGGGTGCCTTCAGACAGAATGTAGGCGATGCACCTGTGGCCAGTCTTTCAATTTGATAAGTGAAACGAAGATCAATGACAACCTACGCAACTCATATCTCTATGTATTTTGCTTTTTTTTTTTTTTTTAACAAATGTCTTGCAAGATTGTACCATCTTAAACACCAATTATCAGCAATTACACACACTAAATAGACACTCCAAATGAGCGTATTGCAATATAAAGGCTCATTTTCTACGCTTCTGGCGACAATTCCCATGATTATTTGCTTTTCGACATATATCGTGATACATTTTATGAAAACTGAGATGTTATGAGGATGCTGTATGGGATGATTTTGAGGAAATTTTACACACACGGCCAATGGTTGCATCATCTGAATTTCAGCACTTTATATAAGCACTTAATATCCAGTTTACCTTTACCAATACTACTAACACTGAGGCAAAAAAGTAAAACCTAACAGATATTATTTATTTTTTAATATTCCAGGGTGTCACCCTTAAAAATATATCTTAGTTTGGCAGGACTTCCCTTTAAAAAAACTGGATTATTTGTAAGTATCTGTAAATTCACGCTCACATCTATTTTGTTGGTCTTCCGGGGTGTTTGGATGTACAAAAAGGGGAGTTTCTTTTTTTATTTATTATTATTCTAATGTATATAATGATTGCAGCTCTGTGTTTCAGCCAAACACTGACAAAACACCAGTTACTGTTGTTTCTAAAGACAGTAATACTGTGATTCCAGGAGTACACTAGGACGATGGATGGTTTAATGAAATTTTAATGTAATTACCTAAGAAAAATTGTAAAACATCACAGGGCGCAATCAGTTTTTTTAACATACTGTAAATGTATACATGCATTTAAGGTCAATTATATGTATTATTAACCTGTAAATTCAGCTATATAATATAGATATGCATTTTGCAAGCAAACAAACTGCTGAATATTAAAAGAAAACTATTGGATCTGCTAATAAGTTGTTTTTTTTCCATTCGCTGTAATCCAAACAATAAAGTCACCTTGCTGAGTATTTAATTTGCTAGCTATCTTATTATTCCATATTCTTCGATGTGTACCCTATGCTATAAAGTCTTCTTTGTAGTTACTTTCCCTGATTCAAAACGGGGCGCTGGATATGCTACTAACCCAAATGCAGAGGAACTAATTTGGGAAAGTAGCACAAAGAAGTCAGTCATCGCTGGTGCACATGTGCGAAATTACAAAGCCAAATATAGCAAACAGCAATGAGAAGCTGTAAGTGTCTGTCTTATAAATGAGTGGAGGATTCGTCCAACTGGTCATTTAATATAATGTGAAAACTGCTAATATTCTGGAAGAAACCATAACTGATGTTGTAAATATGAATTGTCTATTATATCACCATTGAATATACCATACTAAAGGCTTAAAAAAAAAGTATGGTACGGATATAACTGCAACTGAAATACCATCTATACAACCAAAGACACAGACTGCTTGTTTTCTTTTTACACATGTTCACTTTAAAGCATATTTTGTTGAAATATGGACCATTTTTAAAGGAAAACCCCTGTGAAATTAGTGTGCGCAGACATGGAGCTTGCAACTGGAGTGTAAAGACGATCAATTACTGCAAAAATCACACAAAAGTTTCCATATACAGTATTAACTTGTCTTGCACCCTTGTTCAGAATAAAAGCAAAGTAAATCTTCAGCCACTATTCACAAAGATTCGCTCAGGAGTTATTTAAAGAGCTACTGCCGTTTCCTTGCTCCTCAAGACAGTGTTTTTCTCATGGCAAATTAGAAACTGAGTGCTTCTCTGGATGCTCAAAGTACATGGTCGCTCTGTTGCCCTGCAGTTTGGTGTGTGACTTTTTGTGATATTTTTAAATAACTCAGGGGATAAAGCTTTGTGAATATGGCTCCTGGACCATACACGACTGGCCTCCACAGAAACAACGGGACAAATCGCCAAATATTAAAGAGCTAAGAGGACACTAATGGGGTAGAGATATTTTGTTATAGGAACAATGTACTTTAAAGAAAGCAGAAAAAAGATGATAAAAAGACACTAAAGTGAATGCATATTGTGTCAAAAACTCTTCTGTAAATATTATGAAATAAACTGGAACATGCACTGACTTGGTGTGGTTTTTGTTTCATTTTTATAATTAACTCACTGTATTTCAGAATGTTTTTGAATATTTTTATCATGAATTTTGCAGAAAACAAAGAACAGACAGACTAACCCATATTGTAACAGTAATCTGTGCAAAATTTCAAATAAAGCATGAAACAAGTGAAATTGGTGACATGCAAGACCATTACCATAAATACTTGGACATTGACACAATTCTAACCATTTTTGCTCTATACACCAACACAATGGATTTGAAATTAAACAAACAAGATGTGCTTTAATTACAGACTGTCATCTTTAATTTGAGGGTATTTACATGCAAATCAGGTGAACAGTGTAGAAATTACAACAGTTTGCATATGTGCTTCCCATTTGTTAAGGGTCCAAAAGTAATTTCTTCTTTTTAAGAATGTTCCAAACTGTTGCTTTGAACATGATGTTCCATGCCTAATGTTTTTGCTATCTCCCTAATTGGTTTGTTTTGTTTTCCAGCCTAATGATGGCTTGTTTGACTGGCTTTGGATCTCATCTTGAGAGTTGACAGTAACAGATTCCAGATGGAAATAGCACACTTGATATGAACTCTGGACTTTTTGTCTGCTCATTGTAATTGGGATAAAAAGGGTATTAACACAGACCTGGCCATGGAACAGCTAGAAGCCAATTGTCCAGTTACTTTTGGACCCTTAACAAATATTCAGCCCTACAGCGTTCACCTAATTTGCATGTAAACACCCTCAAATTAAAGCTGACAGTCTGCAGTTAAAGCACATTTTGTTTGTTTCATTTTAAATCCATTGTGTTGGTGTATAGAACCAGAAATGGTAGAATTGTGTTGATGTCTGAATATGTATGGATCTAACTGTATATAATCTACAAAAAGACACAGCAATGGATGTAAAGAGAGAGAGAGAGAGAGAGAGAAAGAGAGAAAAATAAAACTTAAAAATCTTCAGATATTAAACAACATTGTTAGACTTTGTTGAGCTAGAAAAAAAAGACTAGATCCCACACTTTATCAAATTTCATAGAGTTCCCAGAAGTGGTATATCTAATTATTTCCAAATGCAAAGTGCAGGTGAGTCCAAGAAGCCAGTTAGAAAAAAGAGGCCGGTTTTTCTTATTTCAGAATGCTTTTAAATAATCCTCACATTATTGGGTATTTCATAACTGATTAAGTCCATCTATTAGCCCAAAGACGAAACTAACAGCATGGTCGAAGTTTAAATGCGTGTAAACCTTTCCTAGCACTTTTGTAAATAATTTTCTTGTTTATTAGAATTTATTTATTCATTTGTTTCCAGCTCAGAATTTAATCTGACTCCAATTTTAATTTATCATTAAATTTCAACTGTGTTTCTAATTAGTAACATATCTCCTCACATCATCAAACTTTAATAAATTTGGATATAGGATTATTTTAGATACACATTCAGTTATTCTTTTATTGAGGACCAATTGTCATTCTGAGTCCATGCGTGGCCACTTTCATGAGCCTTCCCCATTTGGTCTCGCCAGCTTTATTCTTAGAGGTTTGCAGGCAACTGGTACCTTTTAAATTGGGCACCTACTGCTTGCTCTGTGACAGAAAAGGTAGTCTACCCAGTCTTTTAAAGCAACTTGACAGATTAAAAGTGGTCAGAAAGCTGAAGTCCTACGAATAAGTGCTATCTGCTTTTTTATTTGTGATCTTTTAGTTTGATCCACGTTGGCCGTAAAGCACCAAAGGTCAACAAAAGTGTCCACACAATTTACCGGTAATTATGATTTTAGTCGATTTCAAAATAAATGAAATATAACATTTTATTGGTCAAGTAAAAATGTATTACATAATAAAGCAATCAGAAAGCCTAATTAGAGATGATACTGTAAATATACAACATCTATTATTTAAAGATAAATCAAAGAGTTAGAGAAGCATACCTGATCAGAGAACTACAGTCATTTTTGCATCTTTCCCTTAAATACTTAACTCAGGAAAAAAAAAAAAACATACATTAAAGATAATAAAAGCTTCACCAAGAGCTCTGTCTGGCCATATGTTAACCTAAAAACTATTCACCACATGGGGTGAAAAGTTCATAAATGACAGACAATTTCACAGACGTTTCCCAAATCCAGACAATAATACAATAATCATAATACAAGTGACTACTACAAAATTGAGACGATTTAACAATCACACAAAACCCTTTAAAATTGCTCCAAACATGGCAAGTGAAAGATAAACAAGATACACCATATGAAGAGGATGCAGATTGGGAGTGGAATGTCATTGACCTGAGCTCTAAATGAAGAAGTGAAGGGGATGGCAGGGAGGGAGGCACATAATGGGTAACTATGAGACAGTTGAAGAACTTGCTCTCTTGTAGGTCTGCTACTAAGACTAGAAGGATTATTGTTTTATTGCATGGCAATTCATGTGATCTTCCCTCATGGAATTCCATGACAGTTCACAAGGTCTGATATTATGGAGATTTAGCCATCCTTACAGATATAATAATTCATATTGCATAGAATTACAGTTTGTGGATTCAATTAAGCATTGACTATTTCAAATTGAAAATTCATTTATTTTCTGGATTCATTAGCAATGAGTTTAAGAAAAATGTTGCCATTTGTTTTATTCTATAAAAATGTTTACATTTTCAAATTAGCATGGTCATTTAGAGTATTTTCTGCTGAGAATAACAATATAAGGTTTCTGTGATATACAGTGCTCAGCATTTATGAATACACCCCATTTTGAAATAGAATATTTTTATCAATTTCTCAGTGAATATGGGTAAAATATTGGTGAATTTGAACAAAACAGATTTATTAATTATTAATTTATTAAAATAATATTTGTCAAAGAACATCTTTAGAAATGGAAAGATAATACATTTAAATACATGCAAAATAAAAAATACAAACTTCAACATTTCAACAGAATTGTATGTATTTTTGTTTCTCTTAATTTTTGCTATTTTTGAAAATTTAATTTCATATTTTTCTGTAACATAAATTTGGGCTGCTAACTATTAAACTATTATTATAAGTTATTTTGTTAGATAAGCTCCAGATTTGGCTTAAGTACTGACTAAACTAATGTATTTGCACAAATATAGTATTGTAAAGCATGCTATAGAAAATATTTATTTAAATGAGAGATTTGTGGGGTGTACATGCTGAGCACTTATATATAAAACAATGCATACACTGTAAAAAAAAATGTTGGGTTCCACACATTTGATTAGTGTTAGGACAACATAAAAGAATTAAGTTCACTTATTAGTTTTTATTATTTAAAGTGGACAGAACATTAAAAAATTATGTCCCCCCCCCCTGTTTTAGCTCAGAATTTTAACTTATTTAACTAGCAAATAACTTGTGTAATTCAAAAATACTTCACAATAATAATTTAAATAATGGCAATAATTAAATAATTATAAAACTTAATAATCATTACTGAAAAATAAAAACTTCTATGGTATTTTTGTAGTTTAGCATTTTTCTGTAAAATGTACTTTAATGTCCCATTTTTTGTATAGTTTAAGTGAAGTTTATTTATAAACTAATTTTGAGAGGACCACATGCTTATGATTGTTCACCACTGTTCATGCATTAGCCAGTTCATGATTCACCGATCAACTGATTAAGTCTCCATAAATAACCTCCATACCACAGTCATCTTCGTTATAAAAATCCCCCTTCCTCCCCTACTCCTCCTTCTTTCCTAGATGGGCGGCACAGTGGCCCAGTGGTTAGCACTCTTGCCCCCAGAAAGAACGTCACTGGCTCTAGTCCTTACCAAGCCAGTCGAAGTTTCTGTGCGAAGTTCACATGTTCTCCCTGTGCTTGCGTGGGTTTCTCCGGGGTCCCCCAATTTCCTCCCACCATCCAAAAGCTTGCAACTTAAGTTAATTGACTAATGCAAATCAGCACTATAGACGTGCTCCTAGTAAGTAGTTATATCTTCATAACAATCCCTAATTGCTCACTAGCTTCAAACAGCAGGGGAGTATTTGAGATCTACCTGAGTTCATACTCCTCTCTCGCCCTGCAAACAGGAGGGAGCCCCGGGCTCGAGGATCTTATGAGATCAGGGCTCTCTTCCAGGACAGAATGCCAAGTACGGTTTATAATCAATCATGTTTAAACTCTTTAAACACAAATTTGTGGAAAAATAGTTATTTTTTGTGAATCATTTTTAATTAGCAATTGTAAATATGCACGAATACACTGATCTAAACATGACATTTAGAGGATATACAACTAGAACTGAAAATAATTATGCATGACCAGTTGTCTTCCATTATTATTTGATTCATCTAATAATAACCAAACGTATGTTTTGCTCTCTCTTAACAGCCCCTGCATCTTAGAAAGATGCATTTTCATGCCATTTGAACTGCCAGCAACAATAGAGGTGTTTCTTTTTTTTCAAAGTTCTCTCATCTGTTTTCCTCTAATTCCCCCGCCCCACTTCCGACCCTTTGTGTCATTTCTGTGCCACATGCAAACACTCTTAGTGAGAGATGCACTTCTTTCAAGTTCACAGGATGGCCCTCCCATCCGTTCAAAACCACAAACTACTAAACTCTCTTTTACACTCTGCTTTCTCCCTCACTCTCTCTACCCTCTTCTCTTTCTTGACACAAATGCAAATATTCAACATTACAGTAGATATGGGTCAAACTTGGGTTTTGGAGAATAAAATAAAACTTTCGAGGAAGGGAAAACAAAACCAAGTTGATTGATCATTTTTAATTCAAAGTACACTCTAAATATGCTGTGTTGGTTGATCAAACCTGTTTAAGTTACTTTCTTCCGTTTTACACAAAAGAAGATATTTTGAAGAAAGCTGAAACAATTGACTTCTGCAGTATTTGTTTTTATTACTATGGAAGTCGATACAGGTTTTTAGCTTTAATCAAAATATCTTCTGTAACCATTGTCTTCCATAGTAGCAAAAACAAATATATAAACAAACATATATGGAAGTCAATGGTTACAGCT